TAATCCTACAAAGGGTTAGCCTCTGGTTAAATACCTTTTCCTTACATGCACAGCCTTTTCATTGGGATCATTCAGTAAGAAGTCACTATGCCAATATGACAGCAAGAGCAGCTCAGCTCCATAAAAATGTTACCAGAATGCTACAGATTACAAAGTACCCTCAACAAAATGAAGCGTGAGGAATAAGTAAGCAGAATGCGTAAGTTAAGAAGCCAAGAGAGTCAAGGACTGCCTCACTGAAACAGGGACCAGAAGATTAACAATCAATTTATTTTTGAGAAGTAAAGAGTTCGTAAGAATGAGATGTCATGTAGTTATAAGCAGATAGGAAAAATATTTTAGTTAATAACATGAAAAATAAAATACAAGAAAAGGAGAGAGCTAGCATCCAAGGGTCTCTAATTCATTCATAAAAGGTACCAAACTGATCTTCAAGCTTTATCACATAGAATCTTGAGTAAACCACAGTCAAAATCAGCAGGAGAACCTCCTGAAGGGGCGGCAAAGCTGTATCCTGCCACACCTGGAAGCATTTCCTTGGGGCCAAGTAGGAGAAAGGGGAAGTTGCACTATCCACGCCAAGCTGATGCTGACATACCCTTCATGGGCTTGGCTTAGAGTAAAACAGGTATCCTGGGATCTGTGCAACCCAGGAAGATGTAGCTCTGGCTGTACCTGTTTGTAGCCTCTACACCACTAAGTTGAAAACAACAACTCAAGAGAAATGGGGAGAAAATAGAAAAGCTCAGAAAAATAGAGTCATCCTTTTACCTATTCTTTCTTCTCCAATTATTTATTTTTGTAGTATTTACAATGATTGCTAATCCATCCACTGTTTTCCTGATTTATCATGTTGTAGAGAAGCTAAGTCTGAGCTAAAAATGACCATAAAACAGATCTATAATTTTACTGGCATCATTCTCTAATCAAATGAGCCAACTGGTAGAGAAACTTGGATAACTGGAATGCTTAGGGCAAAGGAAAATGATCAACCATATTTAATTGTGTTTCAGATCAAACATTTAAATAACAGTAATATCAGATAGTATGTCATTAAGCTGAGAATACAAAAGTGAACACAAACTAACAATGTATTCAGTCAGGGTTTTATACTACTTGGATTTATGTCAGAAAAAAATTATTCATTCTTGTAATAAAAAAAAAGGGGGGCCGGAGCAGTAAAATGGACTTCAAAAATGATGACAGGGCTAGAGTTTTTCTCTAAAACTGAAGTTAATATGAATCAACACATAATCAACAGTATTATTTTTAAACCATCCTGCAATGTGGTTTGAAAGCAGCTTTCCTTACTGTGATTAAAGTGTTTTTAACATCAAGAGACCTGAGTAGAGACAACTCAGAGGTATTTGTGATTGGTTGTTTAAAAAAGAAAGGCAAATAGCAGACTTACAGCAATACTTTCTAAAGCAGTAAAAATTCTGCTAATTCACACTCTCATCCTCACTCCATGAAAAGGAACTCCCAAGGCCCAATTATTCTAGGTAATTACACATTTCTACTACTACTAACTAGTTATAAACTTTCCAAGAGAAAAATTTAGACCTGGCTGAGACCAGCACATTTAATTAGTACTTAAAGAATGTAATTAAGGTTCAGAAAGATACAAATAAATTATGAATTATCACACAAATCATAAATTGTATATTCTACAAAGAGCTTACCTTGCAGCTTTTTCAAAACAGCAACTTCCATTTTCAGAACTTGTTTTGGTTGTTGAGCTGATTCTACCTTCAGTGCAACATTTTCCCTGGTGAGCATGTCCAAGGCATCGTAAATTTCTCCAAAGCCCCCACCCCCAATCTTTCTCAACTGCACAGAAAATAAGAACACACACACTCAAAATTACTAGAAGATTCTAACTTGAATGCAATTCAACTCATATTTAGAAAATACTGTATAATTTTACAATGTTTTATGATAAAATATTTCAATATTGTTAAATTAACTATGTATATGCCAAGAAGAAAACATATGCCTGAAAATAACATCAAAACCTTTCCGTACAGGTTTATCCACAAAAAAAGTAATGAAATTATTTCACCCACAAACAATTTTAAATTTGGTTGATAGCCATCATCAGAAATGTCACCAAAAATACAATATTTGAAATAATCACTTCAAATTAAAATAACAAATCTGGTTGTTGAGTGGCATTTGTAGGAATTTTTAATTTTATTTTAATTTTAAGGAAGACTTTTTAAACTATGAAATCCTGGCTGTGGCTCACGCCTATAATCCTAGCACTTTGGGAGGCTGAGGCAGGCGGCTCACTTGAGGTCAGGAGTTCGAGCCCAGCCTGGCCAACACGGTGAAATCCTGTCTCTACTAAAAAATACAGAAATTAGCCAGGCATGGTGGCACATGCCTGTAATCGCAGCTACTCAGGAGGCTGAGGCAGGAGAATCGCTTGAACCCAGCAGGCAGAGGCTGTAGTGAGCTGAGATCCAGCCACTGCATTCCATCCTGGGTGACAGAGTCCATCTCTAAACAAACAAGCAACAACAAAAACACTACAAAATCCTTTTGCCAATTGAAGTCTTATCTAGAACCAATCTGGTAAATGTATACTCGGGGTGCAGCAGGGAAGAAGCCACCACCCAGCTTTTTCACCACCACTTACCCTTCTCTCTGAGGCACCTAACAGGGTCCACAGAGCAGGCTGAGAACTCTAGTACTAAACTATCCCAAAGTTCACTAGTCATCTATTTATTCAAATATGGGTTAAAAAATCAATTTAAGCAAGTTCATTAAGCACTATTCTCTCTGATAAAATATGTTAGCTTAACTGGGGAATATCAGGATGCTGGTCTGAGGATCATAAGCAAGTTCTGAAGAGTCAGTGGCAACTGCACCTGTAGGGCTCTGAAAGCTGGGTTGTGGGGGTAGACACTTCAACCTAGAGACACAATTTTTTTACATTTCCTGAAACTAGGTTGTCTCCTTCTCACAATATCAAACACCAGGATGTGATTTAATGTGGAAAGTCATCATAGGCACAGGGTCCTAAATCCTAACCAGCTCAAGAAGCCCCAGCTCCATGTTCTACCTCTTTCTCCACTTGATCGTCAATGAATACTACATCTAGGTTAATTTCTTTATCTTCTGAACTTCTACAGTAATTATTTGTTTAATTATGCAATTAATTATTTTGCCAGGCCATACCTCAGATATCACTTGTATTATTACCTTGTATTTTTTAAATTAAAGACCTGTCCATGAAATACCTTGTTTTAAGCCTGTGATGTTGCTTAACTTTCCATTGTCAATGTCCTATCCTGCTACAGAGAAACTAAGTTTCTTCAAAGAGATGGCCACTTGTTCTATTTCTTTGTGTCCCCCATAGCATTTGGCAAAATGGTAACTATATAAATATAATCCTATATTTATTTTTGCACGTGAGCTATAATCCTTCTTTATATTCTTTCTTTTTTAATTTTTTGAGTTGGTAGTCTCACACTGTCGACAGGAATGGAGTGCAGTGGCACAATCTTGGCTCACTGGAGCCTGCACCTCCAGGGTTCAAGTGATTCTCCTGCCTCAGCCTTCCCAGTAGCTGGGATTATAGGTGTGCACCACCACACTCAGCTAATTTTTGTATTTTTAGTAGAGATGGGGTTTCACCACGTTAGACAGGCTAGTCTCAAACTCCTGACCTCAGGTGATCCACCCGCCTCAGCCTTCCAAAGCACTGGGATTCCAGGCGTGAGCCACTGCATCCGGTCTATCTTTCTTTATTTATTTGTGATGAGAAAGGAATACTACAGTGAAACTACAGGATGAGTTCAAGATTTTTAAAAAGCTCCAGAAGCAGGCTGGGCATGGTGGCTCATGCCTGTAATCCCAGCCCTTTTGGGGACCAAGGCAGGCGGATCACAGGGTCAGTAGTTTTAGCCCAGCCTGACCAACATGGTGAAATCCCATCTCTACTAAAAGTACAAAAATTAGCCAGGAGTGGTGGCGCGCACCTGTAATCCCAGCTATTCAGGAGGCTGAGGCAGGAGAATCATTTGAACCTGGGAGGTGGAGGTTGCAGGGAACTGAGATTGTGCCATTGCTCTCCAGCCTGGGCAACAGAGCGAGACTGTCTCAAGAAAAGAAAGTTCCAGAAGCATTCAGTTAATTAAGTTGTTCCCTCGTGGGCTCTGATTGATACTTATGATTTTTCATATTTTGTCCATTACACAAAGCCTAGTGTAGCTTTAAAAACTCATATACAGTACTGAAGAGATTCCTTTCTAACTATGAATTGGTAGAGGTAGCTTCATGTTTTACCTCACAAAAAACCTTACCAAATGACAAAATAAAGAATCTAGGCAGAAGTAAATGTTTTTGCTCCTTAGTCTATTTCTATTCCTATAATGCCATTTAAACATTAATAGAGCATTTTTTTAAATGGCCTGACAAAGCCCTAAGAAATTATCAAGGTTTATGAGGCAGTTTAGTATGATGGGGGTACATAGATTAGAGGAAGACTAGAAGTAAGGCCTATGGCAGACTGTCTTTTCCAAAGATAGGCACAACAATATCATCCATCCTTGCTCTTCTTCAACGTGAAGAAAACCTTTCACACTGATGAAGACAATGTGACCTTGCTACTCCCCCATCAAGAGGTAGAGACCCTCTTCCCCTTAACTGCTTGAATCAACAGAATAGGGCAAAGTGATACTGTGCCAGTTCTGAGAATAGCCTTTACCCAGCCTGGTAGATTCCATTTCCTGTCTCTTAAAAGCTAGCCACCATGTAAGAAATGAGACCATCTGGCAGGGCACAATGGCTTACAGCTGTAATCCTAGCACTTTGGGAAACCGAGGTGGGTGGATCACCTGAGGTCAGGAATTTGAGACCAGCCTGGCCAACATGGCGAAACCCCGTCCTCTACTAAAAATACAAAAATTAGCCGGCATGAAGGTGCATGCCTGTAATCCCAGCTACTTGGAAGGCTGAGGCAGGAAAGTCCCTTGAACCTGGGAGGCGGAGGCTGCATTGAGCTGAGATCGTGCCACTGCACTCCAGCCTGTTCGGCAGAGTGAGACACCGTCTCAAAAATAAAAATAAATAAATAATAATAAAATAATTAATT